TACATGGAGGTTTGAGAGACTGACAGTTGTTCATTCATATCCTACATCCATTTCTTTTCGCAAGAAGATATGCCAGCGTTGGTAGTGGTCATATGCATTCCCTTTGGGCTGTGGCATTCTCTGTCTTGAGTACTTCTGTGTTAATCCTGTGGGTGTTGCCATTCCTTTTACCTGCAGCCTCTCGACGTCATTCCAGGTCCACTAGTGCTCTCTCCACTGCTGAATCTGTGGGGCAGTCAGGTGAACAAGTGCTAACTGCATGACTTGGCTTCTTCATACATTCTAGTTTTATGCCCATTTTTAACATTTGCTTTCATCAGTGTCAGCTAGCACTTGGCATGTATGTACTTCATTTTTTTTTAATGTGCTTTTCTGTTTTAAGTTGTCGAATGTTTATAGTTCTGTTTGTAGACCTTAGATGCATTGTATCCTGTTTTACAGTATCAGTTCTGCAATACTTTTCCTCATTTTAAAGACTAGGAAAATATCCACTCCTTTCTCTCAAAGATAGTAACTAAAAATTCACTCACCTTCAGTCATCTTTTACCAACAATTTCAAGAGGGAAGATTGATATAGACAAGTGACCTGAAAAGGTTTTGTAGCTCTCATTTCTTGATTCCAAATAAAGTGATGAATTATCATTACTAGTTAATACTGTTTTCAAACTTCAAAAGCATTTTCAGTTAACTACTGAATTACTTTGATTCCCCTATTTGTTGCTTATATACCTACATATGTATGCCTAAATTATTAAAAAAAATAGATTGCTTTTGAGAGTTGTATGAACAATAAGATTAAGAGTTAGATAGGGATTGATGCTACTATCCTTCAGTCATTGATACTTCTAGGTCTATGGGTTTGTTTATTTAAACCCATCCATCAGCACATCTTATTATAACAGCCTTAGGCCCAAAAGAAAAAGCACAATATAATGTATTGCTTTGACCTTCTTCAAAAATCATTTAATATGCAAGTAGCCATTATCATAGACATTTGATCCATTATATGTTTCATTTGAGAATAGAAATATCAAACATAGGCAAAAATCTATTAATTTGCTGACTTTTGGTAGATACTAGTAATAGAATTAGTAGGTAAAATACTTTGTGGTATGAAACCTAAGATTGTCTTTCCCCACTTGTAATGAAGCAAGCATCATTTATAGCCCTATATCTTCAAACACCAATTAATCAGAAACCAAGTTTCTTCAGCCTTTGACCATGGAAAAATTGAAAAATAAGGCCTCCCCTTTTATCTATCAATTTCTATCATTGTTTCAGGCCCTTCATACTCTGATCAGGTTCGTTGATTACCTGAAGATTGAGGGCCAGGTGGAGGTTATAATTATCCATACCTACCTCTTAAGAAAATAGCATTGCATAATAGGATATCAGCCTCAGAAGGTAGTGAGTGTATATTCCAGTCCAGTGAAAGTAAAAACCCTAATTTTTTTCTCATGTGTCACATAATTATTTCTCCCTTCCCCCATTTAAAATATAAATAGGCTACAATAAATGCCAAATGATACAGAATCATTTTGTGTTTCTATGCTGTATGCAGCTGGGAAGCACCATGTATTTTTATTAAATATTTGTATTTGAAAAATAAGGAGCGTTCATCAAGCAGGACATACTGGCATAAAGCCTCCATAGGGTTTGGTTTGTTTAAAAGCTGGGTTTTGTTTACTATGGCAGGTATTTTATAAATTGCTTACAACTGAATTTATTTCATTTTGTTATTCATAAACCCCCCCCCCACTATCTACCCTTTTTTAACGTAGCAAGATACTGATTTAAAAAGGGATTTTGCTATCACATGTGAAAATAGTCTAATCTTTGTTCAAAAGTCCTCACAAATTAAAGTTCTTTTGTCCTTGTGATGCATATGGTAGTGGGCAGAGGTATTTGATTGCCCTCATTAAATTGCCTTTTAAATAGAACATATATAATGTTACATGTGGTCAGAAATGTGTTAAAAAAGGGGATAGTGTAACATAAATTTTTTATTTTCTTTTAATAATTCATGGTTGTATAACTTTTCTCTAGTAGCATTTAAGATTTTTTTCCTTTATGTCATGTCACAAATGAAATTGGAAAAAGTTTCAAATGTTCTATAGTTTTATTTATATAAAATGTATAAATGAGTCTTCTAAGTAACACTTTAATTTAAAAATTAACAAGACTAGGCAGTTTATCAATATTTAGTTTAAGTTTTGAGGTATGACATTTCCCATTAAGATCAGATGATTATAATAAAACAGTCATCTTCCCTTTGACATAAAAATGTTCATTTTTCAGGATATTGCTGATAGAGATTAATTATTAAATAGTGAAAACACTTTAGATATTAGCCTTGTCTTTCAAAGTGCTTTATAATAAAATTAAATTGAAACATTTTCACCATTGCATAAAACTCAACTATATTGTTAATTTCAATGTCTAATGCCTTAAGCTCCAGTACTTTATTGTTGGGTTCTTTTCAACTGATTTCATGGGTACAGTCACCTTTAAAAAAAGAAAAGTTGTTGGCTTCATTTTCCATGATAATTAGTAATAGCTTTTTGAGTACTTGAAACTTCAGTTTCAGTGTTTTTAAATCAAATTCCTGGATCTGTTTCAGTTAGTCTTATACCTGTCTCTATGAAACACAGTGTTCATAATACCATACTTGAGGTAAAATTGATACTGCAAGTTAGCTGAACAATGAGATTTTTTTTGTTTGTTCTTAATTTTGGTTGTCCTTTATAGTGGAGTAAATGATTTTGATGTGATTATTCTTATTCGAAAAGGGAAAATCTCTGATCAGTTTGCTGGATTTCTTGGTGGAGAGAATAGTATGAGTACACCCTGGTGTGCCATAAGCCATTCAGCAAACATCAGTTGAGGATTTACTGTGCAAAAGGCACAGTGCCAGGTCTGAAAAGAAACACAGCCCATTCCTCCAAGGAACTAACATCCTAATAAGTGGGATGAGATACAGACACAAATTACATATGATATAAAATAAGGGGAAAGGAGAGGTCACTTTCTGTGACCTCTGGAGGAAGTGGCACCTGAGCTAGTATGAATGAAGAGAACAGTTTCAACAGGCATCAAGTGTCTGTGCAAATAATTCAGTCTAGCAGTTGGGAGTGGTCAGAGTAGGTGATCAGCACGGGTGTGAGGGTCACGTGAGCTGACTGAGCAGGTGCCTGCTGATTGGCATAAACATAAAGCACCTGACAGGGATGGTAGAATTGTAGCTTAAAGTTGGAAGGAACTTCAGAGGTCATCAAGCTCAACCTAAGGTTTTGCAGGTGAAGAAAGTAAGACCCTGACAAGGTCAAAGGATTGGGACAAAGATCCACGTAAAAAGTTGTGGGTCTGGGATTCAGATCCAGGCTGGAAACCCATGCTCTTCTCACCATTCCACAATGAAAAAATATTTAAAAGGTGGTTTCACACCAGCTTATGCCAAAGAATTATTTTTTCTCATCCTTATAGGGAATGGAGATTAACTGAAATATTTAACAGAGAATAACATATAGTCACTTTTAATGTAATAAGCTTTAAGAAAATTATTTGGCATCAAGGTGGGGGAAGTGGACCAAAGGACACATGGTGCAGGCAGTGTGCATAGGAGGAGATCCAAGAAATGCTGTAGAGGTAGAATGAACAGAGCATGGTGATTGACTGGATCAGGAAGGTAAGAGAGAGAGCCAAATGAAGGATGACTTCAGGCTTTAGAACCTGTGTAACTGGGAAGAGGATGGTGTTTTCAGCATAGATGAGGAGAACAGTTTTAAGAAGGCGATAAATTCAGTTTGGGGCATATTTAATTGGAATGTGATAGTGAGACCTTTCAGTAGGCATTTGGCAGTGGAGCGCTGGAGATTAAGGTTAGATTTAAATAATCTATACAGAGGTGATGAGTGAAGGTATTCTAGAATGTGAGATCATGGAGGACAGGGTTGAGAGAAGAGAAGAAAGCCTAGGACAGAACCTTGGGGGACAACCACAATTAGGGGTCAAGAGGTAGAAGATGTGAACAGTCAGCAGATTGAGAAGATAGGGGAAGCAGGATCAAATTGTCAAAGAAACCAACTTGGGAGAGAATATCAAGAAGAAAGTGTTCAACAGTGTCAAACGTTGAAAAAGGACAAAGAGGATTAGAACTGAGAAAATACCTTTGTATTTTGACAATTAAGTTGTTTTAAGAGCATGAAGAAAGCAGTTTCTATAGAATGATGAGAACAGATTTTAAATGGGCTGAGGGGAGGGGTGGTGGTGAAAAGTGGAGGTAGTAAGTATAAGTGAAGAGAGTGAGTTTAGCAAGTTCTAGGAGAGGTACTTTTAGGATAGGAGAAACTTAAGTGTTCTTGTAGGCAGAGGAGGAGAAACAATAGAAAATGACAGATTGTAGATAGACATGAAAGTGGGGTAGGGTAGGGAATGTGAAATAAGGTCCCAGAGGAGTCAAAAGGGAATGGGAATCCATACCACAAGGGGCTTAACATTACTGGCTTTGTCCAATATTAATGAGTTTGATTAATACCCATTAAACAACACGGACTATAATGAAATTCTCTACAAAAAGATCAATTTAGTCTACATCTCATTATTTTCTTTGCACTTGCTACAGTGGAATTTGTTAATCTGTGAAGCTTAAAATTGAATAGCGGTACCAAATAACAGAGCTCCCTGATCCTTCAGGTAAAGATAAATAGCTTAAAAGATTTGTAAAATCCCCCTTCCGCAATCTAAACTCTTCCCAAATTTTCCAGTAACAAAATATATTTAGATACCAATTCATTCTAGCCATCATTTAAGAAACAGTTGCAGTGTAGTAGTTAAATTTGAGCAGTGGTATAAAAATACCTTAATTTAGTTAAATTTGCCAGTCAGTGGGGCTCTTCAGGGCCCATGTTCTGATTGCTGGGGAAGGCATGGTTGCCTGCGAGTAATTCAGAGGAAATGTGAATTAACTGAACAGAGTTGTTTTGCTTTTGTTTTCTGCATAGATCGGTTTGGGCTTGGGCAGCCGGGAAGGATGCCTGGTTCTGTCAATGCTATGCGAGTTCTAAGTACAAGCACAGATCTGGAAGCAGCTGTAGCTGATGCCCTGGTAAGAGGGACAGTGGACACCCTACCAGGTGACCAAACGTCACTATTGATCAGATATGTGTTCTTTTTTTCATTGCAGATAATACCAGTAAGTGAATTGATAGCTGAAAGATGTAAACTTGTATTTAGCATTTTAAAATTTCTCTTATTGAACAAGTATGCAAATCTTTATTGTAGATTTCTTTTTCTCTTACTTTACATCTCTGTACTTAGGCATTGATAAAAAGTGATCTGCTAGAAGTTAATAGGATTGGGTAATTCTTTGCTGCTTTCCTGCCCAGCCAGTGGAGGTTTGATGACATCGTGCTCCTAGGAGAAGGGTTGTTAGTTTTTTCTTTACCTTTTATATCCCTAACACACCTTCAGTTTTTCTTTGCCTCTGCTATATTGCTCCATTTTCAGTCATGAGCAAAATTTTTGGCATGGTCTAAACATAGTGCATTAATAGGTACTCAGTCCTGTTGCCCATTCTTGTTATAGTGTGGGAAATACTGCATTGATGCCCTCACTTATTTCCACATAATTTTTATTTTTCAAAAATGGTATTATGAAAAGGGACCTCAATATGCTGTGGGAACAACTTAAACTAGATATTTTTATTAGAGAATAGAAGCACTTAAAATATTTTTTTTTAAATCTTAGGGTAAAATGGAGAGATAAACTTTAGAGAACTTTTAATCTGTTAATTAAAGAACACGTACTTGGTGGAATCTGCTTGTTGTCAGATTGGTTTTAAAAGACTTATTTCGTCCAGGAGTAAGACTCTTGTGCATTCTGGTTTATGTGCTCAGCATTTGAAATAGATTTTTCTTAAGAGCCATCTGATTTCAAACCTTGTTTTTTCCTGTTTTATATATATGTTGTTTTAAAAAAACTGTAATTTTTAATCCAGCTGTATGGTTATCCAATCCAAATTTCACAATGGATTGCTGCTAGAAATCCAGATTTATCTCTTTAGATTTTTCCTTTTCGTTCATTCTCGTTTGATCCAGCCTATCTGCACACAAGTAGTTTGCAACTCCAATAATGCCTTCCTTGTAGGGAAGGATTGCAAGGTCAGCTTTTATTCAGCAGTCTTGCATATAGAAAGGCAGTTTTCTGGTAAGTGCTGGAAATGAGAGAGATTGCTCTAAAGATGGCTTTATCCCAGAAGTCAAGAACTGGAGCAGAATACTAGGAAATTGGTTCCTGATCCAAGTCGGGAGCTTTTGGACCTTATCCCTTATTTATTCAGAGATCCTGGGGGAAAGTTGAGAGATGGGGGAGGGGTAGTGGTGAAGGGATAGTGAATAAAAGACATTACAAAAACTTAGTTAAATGGACTTCTTGTGATGGAGGCGTGCTCTTACTCCCTTTAAAAGAGTTTCCTAAGGGATTATCTGCAAATTTCTGAGAGCCTAAATCAGACTTGAGAGATGCAGCCACAGCTTCATTTTCCATAGAACTCTTCCTTCCAGCAGGCTAGCACTGCAAATCAGATCCTGAATGTAATGTCCCTCTGAGCTGTATCTTTTTTTGGATGGCCAAACCAATTGATATCTCAGTATGTCCTGTGTCAGAGAAGGAAAAAGCCACAAGAATGGTATAGGACTCTTCACAAATATAATTTTCTTACCATGGGCACATTCCATACACCATGGAAGTTAAATTGTTTAGATTTTTAAGAATTAACTTTGGGGGTGGGTAGCGTTTTTGGCAGTGGGAAGTCTAGGAAGAGGGCATAGGACTAGTAGAGAATGCCATTTTGAAACCATTTTTGTTATTATTTGCTTGATTTAAAACACCTGCTGACCTGTGTTTTTTTAATTTGCTAAGATACATTTTGCTGTACATTTTTGTTGCAAGAAGAACCCCTACATAAGCTTCTGACATAATTCTCTATGCTTTTTCCCCATCCTTCAATATTTTCCTGCTACAGCTATTAGGAGACTCCAGGAGCAAGGTACCAGTGCTTTGTTGACTTTTCTGTTTGTTTGGGTTTTTTTTAGCCTTTTTTTTTTTCAGTTGCAAGAATTTATAATTCTGGGATTGTTAAAAGGAAAGAAAAAAAATTCAGTATGAGTATACTTGTTATAAATGTGTAATTTTTGTGATGATTTGAGTGATTATCAGTTGTAGTTCGTGTAGTTTTGTTTTAGCATTTATTCTAAGATATTGAACTCTGTTCTTGTACCTGTTAGTGATTAGTTTTTGTGTATTAACCTATTGCTTGCTTATGCTTATGTCATTATTATGTCATGAACACAATCTCATATTCTTCATATTTTAATATTTGACTTGATGCAAAAATCATATTGTCAAACGACTAGTATTTGGAAATTTCAGGTCATAATCACTCGTTTCTTTCCCTTTAAAGAAAATTTGCATCTTATCATAATATGGCTGAGTATGTTACATGCTATATTATATAATATGTAGCTATAGGATGCTAAAGAAAGTACCAGAAGAATCATGAAACAAAGAATTTTTTAAAAATCTTCCCCACTGTTGCAGAATTGAATTGTTTATACCCTTTATACTATAGTAGACTCACATAATTTAAGAAACCTTTTGAGATGATCTGTGAGACTGCTTCCAGCTAAATGTCCCAAGAATCCTTGTGAAGATGGAACCATGCCATCCTATATTATATTTCACCTTTTACTACCCAAACGTATGTTGCTATTCAGTTGTACTGAAGGAGACCTTTACTACTTTTTTCTAACATATTGGCAGTAGAGGAAAATATTAGCATATTTTCCCTGGTTTCCTTCCTTTGGTGTGAAGCTGAATTTTGTTTTGTTTAACTTAATATGCCATTCTCACTACCACTCAACCCCCATCTCTTTCTCAATCTCCACCAACCCTATCTGGGTCTTGGCAGAAAAAGCCAGTGAGGAGAAGATATGAACCATATGGGATGTATTCGGATGATGATGCTAACAGTGATGCGTCAAGTGTTTGTTCTGAGCGTTCTTATGGCTCTAGAAATGGTGGGATTCCTCACTACCTACGACAAACAGAAGATGTAGCAGAGGTTCTAAACCACTGTGCTAGTTCAAACTGGTCTGAAAGAAAAGAAGGACTTCTTGGACTGCAGAATTTACTGAAGAGCCAAAGAACACTAAGGTGAGTACAGGAGGTGTGCCAGGATAGAATTAGGAGCTCAAATGAGTGAAATAATGAGCTGTTCTACTTTAAGGATTGATGATTTTTAAAAAAATTTTTTGTTAATTTATTTTGATTTATCAACAATCACTTCCATATGCTTTTGAGTTGAAAATTTTTCTCCCCCTTCCTCCCCACCACCCTTCCCAAGATGGCACACAATCTGATATAGGCTATACATATACATTCCTATTAAACATATTTTCACATTAGTGATATTATAAGTAAAAATTAGAACCAATAGGAGGAACCACCAGAAAGAGAACACAAAACTCAACAGAAGAGAAAAAAAAATAGCAATTCAACCTCCATAGTTCTTTCTTTGGATGTGGATAGCATTTTCCATCACGAGGCCTTTGGAGATTTGAGATGTCTTAGATCCTTGTATTGCTGGGAAGGGTTAAGTTTATCAATATTAGTTATCGCACAACGTGGCTGTTACTGTGTACAACATTCTCTTGGTTCTGGTCACTTCACTCAGCATCAGACCATACAAATCTTTCCAGGTTTTTCTGAAGTCAGCCTGTTCATCATTTCTTGTAGCACAATAGCATTCTATTACATTCATATACCACAACTTGCTCAGCCATTCCCCAGTTGATGGGTATCCTCTCATTTTCCAATTCTTTGCCACCACAAAAAGAGCTGCTATGAATATTTTTGTACATGTGGATCCTTTTCCCATTTGTGTGATCTCTTTGGGATATAGAAATGCTATTGCTGGGTCAAACGGTATGTACATTTTTATAGCCCTTTGGGCATAGTTCCAAATTGCTCTCCAGGATTGATGATTTTATTAGTATGAATATTTCCTGCATCTGTATACATCACATTGCATGCCTTTATAGAAGGTCTTCAGATTTGGTGTAATCTGGGAGATAGGTATTACTTGTTCATCTTCCTTCTATCTCTTTCAAATTTAGTTTCCTTCTTAGGTATTACCAATGTCAAACCCATACTCTCAGACCCTTTCTGGTTTGTTAGGACCTGGCAGAACTTGTATACTATATTACAAGCTTCAAGAACTGTGGGTAGGACTTCTGTGGAAGATGTTGTACTTTGGTAGTTTTAAAACGTATGTACCTTTATTTCTGGTTTGAAATGGTACTCTTAAGTGTTTGGTTTTTTCCTTTTGATAAAACCTTGTTTTGGTTTGTATTCAAGAGGGGAAAGCCATCGACACTGTTCAGGGTTTATTAAATTAGTATATTACATATCAGTTTGGGGTTCATCATTTTGGAGAGTTGCCCAAATTAATTCAAACCAAGTGTCACATTAGCTGCTTATGGTAGAATGCCATTGTCCTTGATGAAATGTTTGAAATCATAGTTGGTTTTTATGATTGTAGCCATGGTGACACACCTGCTTAGGGGCAATGTGAGTCAAAACCAATTTCTGAACCACGTGTTCAGAGATACTGTAGGTTTAGTCTCTGCTTTGATGTAGGATCCAATGAAGCTACCTTGTGGTAAATCTGTATTAAAAATATGGACGAGGTGTTGGCAATTTGCTTGAGTTGTTTATTGACCGAAGACATATGTTCATGGGAAAACATTTCATTTATATTCAATAAGAGATTAGATTACATGAAGGCATTGAGGCTACACCTTTATTTAAATGGAACAATGAAGTCTTCAGAAATTATGTTTGCTTCAGGGTATATTTCTTTAATATCCAATTCATCCACCATTTTTAATAGGGTACTCATTATTTTTTTGGGGGGGTGCCCATTATTTTGAGAGAATTTACCCTCTTGGCTCTTTAAGTAGGAATAGCCTTATCAGTATGGATCCCTGTAGTAAACCTCCTAGACATGGTCCAAGACTTGTTTTAAAGGCTTGGGCACATCATTACATTTTGTGACATGATATTTCCCATCATACCTACTACAAGTGAGATAAATAAAATTGGCTGTGCTGTGAGTGAAGTGCTCTGTTCAAGGGTCATGATTGTAGGCTGTTATAGTAAGAGAAAGCAGAATACTCAAAATCAAGATTTGAGTTCAAATCTTGGTTTTGTACCTAAATAGTTGTGAGGAACTCACGACCCCTTTTTTTTAATCTTCCTTGTCCAACAAGGAAGTTGGGCAACACGATCTCTTAATATTCTTTCTACTACTTACCTTCCAGGATTTTATAAAAGGAGGCATCAGCAGTCATTTAATCACTCACACAATCACAAATCACTGAGTATCTGCCTTGCCTCAGAGGGATACAAAAGAAGTAGGCAACATAAAATTAGAAAATATTTCCAAGATTATATATAAATGAAGTTTGTGGTAATACTGTTATATTATTTTGGAGAAAAAAACCTTTAAAAAAACTCACGTAGCACAGAACCTACCTAGTACAGAAATCCTCTCTTCAGTTAGGTATTCCTCCCAAAGTGTTACCTAACTTTTTCCTATCACTTCCAGTAATGGGAAACTTGCTACCTTACAAGGTAACCCATTCAATTTTTTAACTGACTAAATATTGTTTTGATAAAGCATACAAATGCCAACTAACTCCTTTTTTTCTTTTACTTTGTTATTTTTAGTATTCTTTTCTTTTTAAATTTTAAGTTCCAAATTCTCTCTCTCTCATACTCTTCTCCCACCCACTAAGAAGGCAAAAAATATGATATCAGTTATCCATGTGAAATCGTGCAAAACATTCCCATGTTAACCATATTTCCAAAAAAAAAAAAAAAAGCCCAGCAAGAAAGTGAGAAAATTATACTTCAGGCTTGCACTCACTTCTCCAATTCTCTGTGTAGAGGTGGATAGTATTTTTTCATCATGAATCCGTTGGCATTGTCTTGGATCAGAAAAGCCAAGTCTTTCACAGTTGACCATCATTACAAATTTTCATGATGACCTCCCACTTCTTCTCACTTCACTTTGCATCAGTTTTCATATAGGTCTTGCCATGTTTTTCTGAAATCACCCTTCTTGTTGTTTCCCACAGCACAATAGTACTCCATCACAATCATATGCCACAATTTGTTCAGTCATTTTTCAATTAATGAGAATCTCCTCAGTTTCCAATTCTTTGTCATCATGAAAAGAGCTGCTTTAAATATTTTGTATGTTCCTTTCCTTTTTCTTTGATTTCTCTGGCATACAGACCTCACAGTGCTATTGCAGTTTTATAGCCCTTTGGGCCTAGTTCCAGATTATTCTTCAGAATGGTTGGACCAGTTTACTACTCCATCAGCAGTTCATTAGTGTACATATTTTTCCCTCATCCTCTCTAGCATTTGTCATTTCTGACAGGTGTGAAGTGGTACCTTTTAATTTTGTTTTAATTTGTTGTTTTATAATTTTGTTGTAAAAATGGTATTTTAATTTGCCTTTTTTTAATCAGTAGTGATTTAGATTTTTTTTTCATATAACTATGAATAACTTTGATTTCTTCATCTGAAAATTACCTGTGTATATCCTTTGACCATTTGTGAATTGTGGAATGGCTCTTATTTTTATAAATTTGACTCAGTTCCATACTCAGTATATATTTGAGAAATGAGCACTTTATCAGAAAAACTTGCTGTAAAATTTTGTCTATGGTACATTTTAGCAAGATGTAGTTTCCCTCATCATCTCTTTAATTAGATCTGTTTTTACTTTTGCCTTGTCAGAGTTCATGATTGCTACCCCTATCTTTTTTTAATTTAGCTGATACATATTAGATTCTACTCTAGCCCTTTATTTCAATTCTTTATGTGTGTTTCTGTTTGAAATGTGTCCCTTGTAAACAACAAATTGTTGGATTCTGGCTTCTAATGTATTCTGCTATGTGCTTCTGTTTTGTGGGTGATCTCATCCAATTCATAACACAGTTATGATTACTGTGTTTTTTCCTCCATCCCGTTTCCTTTGGTTGCTTTTTCTCTTTTTATCCTTTTGGTCCTCAAAAGTCTATTTTGGTCTAACCAACTGCGTCCCTTAATCTGTCTTCCCTTTTTTATCATCTTCCCCCCACCCCTTTCTTTTATCCTCAATCTACTACTTCCCTGTTGGGTAAGTTACATTTCCATACACAACTGAATGTATATGTATGTTCTTCCCTCTTTGAACTAATTCCAGTGTGAGGTTTCAAGCATTGCCCATACCCCCTTTCCCATTTTCCCATCCACTGTAAAAGCTCAATCTTGTGCACCTGTTTTATGTGAGAAAATTTTCCCTATTCCACCTCTCCCTCCCAATTAACTCCTAATTAGACAACCAAAATATTCATTCCTCACCCAAAACAGTGAAAACCCCCCCACATAATAGAGTAACCAATCTATTTTCTTACTGCTTTGATTGTTCTTTTTTTAATTGTCCCAAATATTGAACCAAGATCTGTTGCCTTAAAATTTTTATCTACTGGTAAATCACATCTTGGGCTATTGAAATCTCAAGTATTGATGTCATCATCTATTATGTTAACTATCCCTGGCAGCTTTGTGTCAACTACAAGCCACCTGTGTCTTCATTCAGATAATTAATTACAACTATTGATAGGACCCTTTGACATACCACCAGATAATTCACTTCAGGTTGAAGTTGACCCATTAATCTCTACTTTTTGCGTTTCAAACAGCTGTGAATCCACCTGAGAGTAGTATCTTCCAAAGTATATTTAGTGGGATTGTCTTCTCTTAGATCATCTTTCAAGCCATGCTTGTTCATTATGATTTTGCATTATTCACTTTTTCTATCTTAAAAACAAAACACAACAAAACAATGATTTGTTATATGGGATGGCTCCCATTCAGGCAATGAGGTGGTTTTACCACCAACAGTGCAGTAATGTGCCTGTGGGAAACAAGTTTATTAAAAGGCACAACAGACAACTCCTAGTGAGCCTCACTTTCTTTCAAATGTTTTTAATCTTTTCTGTAATTTTGATAGTATTCAGCTTCAGCCTGAAGTTATATTGTTGTAGTTTTATTTTCATTATCTTTCCAAGTGTTTCAAAACCAACTATCCCTGATCCATTTTGATGTATTAGAGAATAGACATATGTAAACTATTTAGAAGGCCAAAAGATGTACGATAAGCACAAAATTGAGGCAGGGGGCCTTCATGATTATATAAGTTGTCAGTGACTATATCTGTGGCTTTAGAAACATCACTTGACCTTTCTGGGCCTTGGTTCATTTCCTTATTTTTCAAATAAAGAGGTTGAATTAGATGACCCAAAGTCCTTTCACCTCTGTAAAGTTTAATATTTAGAGCAGAGATAGCCATAAGTTCAAAATGTCAGCTTTCATAGATCATAAAAAAACTGAAACTTGCAGTCACATGACTTTGAACAATGAATGTCTCCTGCTTTCTGCTTGTACCCTAGACTCCCTCTGATTTTAGTAAACTAATGACCTCTCAGAATCCATTAGGCTCTTTTAAACCTAGCTTTCAAGGTAAGCTAGTATGGAATTTCTGTCAAATCAGGATATGCCAGGAGAATTAATACTCTTGTTTTATAAGTAATTTTTGAAGTGACTTCAGCTCTCTGCTAATAATCAAAATCAGTTCATTAGAAACCATAAGTTCAGCTGCAGGGCCCATACAGTTTTCATGCTGTCTGATGAGGTGCTGAAATGATGACTAAACAGATAACAGCCAACCGAGTGCTTCTGGGGCCCAAGAATAAACCCCTTGCCTGGTCATTGTCTGCCCACAGAGGATGTCCTCTTCAGAGGAATTATTAATGTCTTTTTGAAGCATTTCTCACATGATAGGATCCCTTGTGTATAAATAATTATAATTTTATTAATGCTGTTTATGTCAAATGTAGATGTCTTATTACATATTGAAATATTTAATATTTTTAATGTTTTCAAATAGGCTAAATATCTACTCTTTTAAAAAGCAAGTTTTGTACACAAAACTTGCATCTAAAAGTGAGACTCATCAATGACCATGGGTTAAAGACTTCTTTACATATACTAGCAATTCAGAGAATAGAGGTATAGCGAGCTTTAATGGATGTTTAACCAATTTTAGTCTCATTTATCTTTATTTATTTTTCTGCTAGTCGAGTTGAATTGAAAAGACTATGTGAGATCTTCACTCGAATGTTTGCTGACCCTCACAGCAAGGTGAGTCTAGAGAACAGCCTGAGAACTCTTATGTTGATCCTTACCTGCATGTTCATGGCACCTGAATTACTAGAAGTATCTGAGATTGCAAAACCCACTGTGTGGGATAGCATTGAGTTTATAGATGTGAAGTTGGTGTTATTGATGACATTTATTTTCCCATTTTAAAAAATCTGGCATTTTTAGTAGCTTCAGTCTTTTAAGTGCTATAAAGTATATTCTTAAAGGTATATGTGGTAGTGAAATGATAATTTTTTAGCTTAGAGTAAAACTATAAAATTTATAGGGTAAAAAGTATATAAAAAATTACAGTAGTAAGAATTAACTTTGTAATTATTATCTTTAACCACTATAAAGCATTCATATATACCATGTTTGTCTGAATATAGACTTGTGTTATTAAAATTTAGATTGTGTAAACTTTGAGGGCATCTTATATAGCCAATATGTTTGCTTCATTGTCCATTGTATTGGTTCAAATATAGTCTGTAAAATGCAATTTTTGTGGAAAGGAAAAAATATTTTATGCATCTAAAGTTCCTGACTGGACTCGTAAAATCTTTTTTTCCTTTCAAAAAATATCATTTAAAGGTTTACACAATATTTGAACCAATTATATAAATATATATATATATAAATATATATATGTATATAAAAAATATATATAAATATATATATGTGATAATATATAGATAAAATTGAAGCCTGTGATTTAAGACTTTACCACTAAGCAAATGTTTCTGAAAGTGGAGTCCCCCAAAACTAGTTGTATCTTATATGTCAGTTTACCTATCCAAAGGCTACAGCTAATAGGAACTAAAAAAAGCCACAAATTATAATGGCATGGAGCTGAGGCTAGAACAAATAGCATAAAACTGAGATTAAAATGCCACCTAAGTGTTTAGTGGGTTCATGCCAAGAATGAGACTACTTCCCATCCCATGTATGATGAGGATAATTCTGGACTCTGTAGGTGAAAGAGAGTTCTCTTTACAAAATTTATTTGGAGTCCCTAGTTTAAATTTATGCCTTTGGATTGAAGAGAAAGAATCAGGGAATTGTAGGTTATTATTGGGGAGAGACATAATGATGATAATAGTAATAACAGGTAGTATTTTCATGTAACACCTACTCTGTGCCTGGCACTGGTGCGGGTTCAACAAAAAGGTTATTTTTACAGAAAATTCAAAAGATGAATTTTATTTAGATGTCCAGTGGATTAATTTTCTGATGTGGAAGATAGATTTTAGAAATATAAGACAAACCTTATCCAAAAGTATATTGTGCTGTTGAGCTAGGGAGCTTCTCTAATCTGGGGACCTTAATATTAAGATATGCAGAATCTTAGATGTGTAGTAACAATTAGGAATATTTAAATATTCTGGATTGTCTTCCTTATGTGAAAGTAAAATGGGTTCTCAATTTCCATATAACCACTAAACCTGGCCTTTCCTGGGTTCCTGTGTAACTTTAGTTGTTCCACAACTCTTCATTAGATGTGGTTTTATATAGTTTTGGCCTCTTCCTAACAATTATTTAATACATTTGTTACTTATCTCATTGGGTATATCCCTGATTATTCAAGCTAAATGCAAATGCTGTGTTCTTTAGATTAATATGAAGCCAACTGTGACTAGAATTTGTTATCATGTTTGGTGCCATTAGACTTTATTCTTATATATTGGACCACACTCGAAAACACCTGTACAGAACAGAACTAGAAAGCTTGGCTACTTCGCTATTGACAGCCCCAACCAGCATTATTCTTATTTTCCCTTAGAGAACATAACCAGAGCTCCTCATGCAGGGAACCATCTTGATTGTTAAAAGGCTCTAGACTATTTAGATGAGAGAAATTCTCTATTAATCGTAATTTAGCTCTACTCAAATCCAACCAGCTTGAGAGTAAGTTAGTCTATAATAGGTTAATCATGAAATCTTGAGTCACTGAGACTCTTGTGATAATGGAGGCTAATAAAGGATTTCAAATAAAGTATAATTATTTTAGAAGAACATTATCAGTAATAGCTTTAAGAGCCCTTATTAAAACAATAAGATTTACAACATAGAAAATAGAGGGGGTTATAGATGGTTCTGGAGATTGATGAAATTTCTATCACCTATTCGCCTCTAGATTGCTGATTCAGAACCAGAATGTGATGCTAATGAAAGAAATTTGTTCCCATCAGATGGCTCTTGTACAGTGAGTTTGTTGGGGGGAAGGTTCTCAGTTTAGTTACCATATATTAGGTGTTTTTGTGGGATGAGAAACCACCTCAATGGCTGGGACTCAGTTCTTTCCCTTTAAATGGTTTTGTAAGAAATCTCCAGGCTTGAACAGATGTCATTATAAAATTTAACATACATATATAATTAATTGGTAAGGTGCATCCTGTAGAGCAGGTTGCATTAGCAGCATATGAAAACAAATTGCTGTATTTCTGCCTATAATTGGTTCAATGAAATTCCAGTTTGACCCCTTCTTTCACATTAGATATTGCTAACAATTACATTGCCATATAATGAGAGAATGAAGTTAGGAATTTTATAACAAGTAGAGTAAATCTTGATCAGGGAATAGCAGATGAGAAAATAGGATAAGTTAAATATTTAGAAGTTCTATGTTAAAAGCTGCCTAAAAATGTCAGCAAATACACAAGAGTGGATTTCCCTGTGCCTAATTTATTAAATCCTGAATTATTAGTGCACTCACTGAATACTAAAGTAAAATGAGAAACAGAATAGGATTATGAAAAGAGACCTGGAAGTCTTCAACACTAGCCCCCTGCCTTCTAGCAAGATTTAATTTCTCAGTGTTCCATATTTTAAAGTCCTGTTTTGAGGTATGAAAATTTTTATTGTAACACTGCAGTCATTGCCAGCATACTTTTGTTTTTTGAAAAACTCTGCATCATGGTACTATTAATTCACAATGTGGACTAACAAATGGTTTGTTTTGTTGCATGGCCTGCCGTGCGGTGGAATTCACAAAAGAGAGTAAGTCCTTCCCCTTTTTTTCCTTTATTTTTCTGTGACAGTGTGTAATGTTAGTGTTTATTGGGGATGTTAACCCAGTTGATTTTGTTTTGACAAAACTACCTTAGAAGTTTTTTTATTTGTTGTCTACTCTTTCTCAGTATTTTAATCCTTAATGACCTTTTGGTGAACTGGAATTGGCATTAAGAATGAGAAATGATAAATTTTCAACTATGTATCCTTTGTAGGTTTTCAGTATGTTCCTGGAGACTCTAGTGGACTTTATAATAATCCATAAAGATGACTTGCAAGACTGGCTTTTTGTTCTTCTGACACAATTACTTAAGAAAATGGGAGCAGATTTACTTGGATCTGTACAAGCAAAGGTTCAAAAGGCTCTAGATGTAACAAGGTAAAAGTGTGGAGGCTGAAACCATTTCATCTGTCTTTTGTTTCTTTTTGTATCCCCAATAGTTAGCATAATGCTTGGCACGTATTAGGTGCCTAATAAATGTTTATTGACTGGCTGATGAGCATCCTGTGATTATTTCACAGCTCCTTTTTCAGCTCTTCATTGTAGTTTATGTCCCTCATCTACTTTTGTCTGTCCTTCATTCAGATCTTAACTTATTCCATCTACATAACTATATACACATTTGATTTCCTTCCCATATATCAAAGCATGCAAACCTTTTATTGTCTAGCTATCATTGTTTTTAGTGGTGTATGTTTATCTTTGTGAATATGTGTAGAAGACATAAGTGCTATTTGTTGCAAGGGTGAAAGCCCAGGAAAGTCGAGACTCTAGGAAAGAAAAGGAAAGTAATGAGTTGAGTATTAGAAAAATTCCATTCAGGTTTTTTGTCTTCTGTTCCTCAAACCCGAGGCAAGTAAATAAATGATTAGAGTCAGATCCCATACTCAGCCAAATTACTATGGTGTTGATTGCATGATTTGTGGGCCATGGGGAGTATACTGATCAGTCTGGTAGATTATTAACACTGTGCTACAGGTCAGAAAAGAAGAATTAAATATGATCAACTTGGTTTCTTGGGGGAGACATTGCTTATGTTAATTATGTATGTTACTTTGTAGACTCTACCAGGTCACCCCACAGTTTTTTTTCCTTAGACATTCATGCCCTAGTTCTGCTTTGATATCTTTCCCAAATGTGTAAATGGGGGTGAAATTCTCAAACCATGTTATAATTTTTGTTCTTTGTTCTTATTGGGATAAATGAGTATCTTTAACCGTTGCTTCCTAAAATTCATATTTACATGTGGTTACCAGTTTTAGCCTTTTTTTCATAACAACTTTGTCGTGTAGGTGGTGTAGGTATTTTTATCCCTATTTTGTAGTTGAGAAAGCTGAGGTTCAGGGGAGCAAAGCATGACATGGTCGCACAGGAAGTGGCTGAGTTGGATCTTGAGCCTAGTTCTCCCAACTCCCAAATCTGTTGTGCTTTCTTCTGTGCCTTGCTCCTTTTGGGGGCCTGATCAGAAATAGGTTTAAAGTTCTGCTTATACAAACAAATTGTCTTCCAGAACTTGCTGCTTGCTGCAGGTGTTTAATTCAGCTCTCAACAAGGTGGGGCTAGAGGGGGATAAGGAGGAACTCAGGACTAAAAATACCACCACATACTATAGGGAGACTCTTCTTGCAGTTGTTGAACCTCTGAATGGCTCACTGGTCAACTGGAGCAAATGGTGCCATAGTCAGCATTGATTAGTATGTTTTCCATGCTCATAGAATCATTACTGAATATTTGATTTTCTCTTTTGCAAAATTAGGGGCAGTAGTTTCTGAGGCAAGGGTTGCAAAGAGAATCCAAGAAACCTTTTACTTAGCCTCAGTTTTCTTAGCATTTCATTAGCATCAAAGTCATGATCCATCTGATATAAGGAAACCTCATGAAATATTAGAGGTGAAGGTCATCTTAAAGATCTTGAAGTACATATGAGGAAACCGAGGCTACAAGAAGTGAAATGTGTGAATGAATCAAGGTCACATAACTATTTCGTGGCAGAACCTGGGCACTCAAACCCCAATCCCCCAGTGTTCTTTCCATCAGTGACAGTCTTATGTTATGACAGCCTAATTTCTTTTCATCCTTAAATCTGTAAACAAATTTGTAAAATCGACAGAAAAGAAGTATAGATAGTGTCTGTAAAACAATGACAAATGTTATTAATAGAATTAATAGAATTAATTTTAATTATACTATGATAAGGAAATGGCAATACAGTGATGTATGTAAAATACTTAGCACAGTTCCTGGCACATAGAAGGCACTTAATAGATGCCTTTTCTCTCCTCCCATATACATATCCCCCACCATGGTGCTTGATACTTTAGAACTATGAGTGTTTTCTAAGTAGAAGTTATAGTTTTATTCTTTTTTCTATCTCTTGTACACCAAAGCTTAAAAAATGTGTTTCTCTTCAGTCGAAATAAAACATCATGGTATTGAAAAAACAAAAAACTGTCGCACTTGAGTGAGAAGACCTCAGTACAAATGAAAACTCTTCTACTTAAGTCACTTAACTCTTCTGAGCCACATTTTCCTCTAAGATTAAATGAAGAGGTTAGATTAAATGGTCAGCTTCTACTCTAGTTACAGTCTTTGTCCTTCCTGCTTCCAAGGGTTGTTCTATGGATGTTAATGTGTGTTAAAGTGCCTTGGTATGAGAAAGCAAAATACTTGAAATCATAGGAGCTGACAAGATTACCAAGAAAAGTATATAATTTAAGGATATTCAAGACACATTATTAATCTTTTGCTTTCAATTGACACTGTGTGCTACTTTCAGAAATAGAATCCAGAGCTTGATATACCACTGATTTGACTTAAACAGAGTTACCAATTTTCTTATACCATGTTATCTTCTGTAAAATTGATTGGCAGTATAGATCCATAGCTATTTTATAACTTCTGTGAATGTGAGTAATAGAATTGTTAGCAAATTAATTGTGACCATATATATACTTTATGATGTAGTGAGATTAAATTCTGTTTGTGACTTGTGAAAACTGATTTCCTTACTTCCTCATAGCTAGTATACATACTACAAGTAGGCTGCAGTATCCTCCACTTCTTGCTTTGGGTCATCAATGGAGAAACTAAGGATTGATTTGACCAGTGGTGATTAAACCACCTTTTTCTTTTAGGGATGGTCTTCAGAGCTTTGAAAATCAAGATAGATGAGGAAAAGGATTGTGCCATTTGTAGCAGTCATTTACTTCATCTGCTTTGGAGAAGAGGGCTTTAGTTTCTAAGTGAATTTTTAACATTCAATTATTTAGCATCAGTTAATGAATAAAAATTCCTATTTTTAATGTCTTGCCCTTCGGGTTGAATTGGAGGTCCCATCCCTGTCATACAAATGAAAAAAGTTACTCCTTCAATTTCCTCATATGTTGATATTCTGTCTATTAATGCCATTCACATCCCCATTAACTATTTTAGGATCTAGTCTACTGTGACCAAACTTAGCCATCTTACTGCAAACCTACTATTGATTGGCCTCTTTGAACCGGGCCTAGGTGGTCCTTTGACAGCAAATAGACAGGAGAGTCATGTGAACCTGGGGCAAGCCATGTCACCTCTCTGGGCCTCAGTTTCTTCATCTGCAAAGTGAGGAGGTTGAATTCCATGACTTCTGGAGTCCCCTTTAGCTTTAGGGTTCTGTGATTTTCACAAATGTATCATAAGTTCTTTTGAGCTCATTAAGCCCCTTCAGTGTTTGTGCTTTGCTAGCATAATATTCAAGAATTAAGGACTTTCTCTCAACCCCCAAATGAGACATTGAAGAATGACTATAATTCACTTAGTTAGGCAAGAGACACAGTGGTTTATCGGAGAGTAAGTGAAGGTACAGAAAAGTCTCTGTCCCTAGAGGTTTAGGTTTCTGGGCCAGGATCTGGCGACAAAGCAGAGTATATAACTTGGCTCAATGTTGCCAGGCTTCTCTGGCCAAGCAGTCCATTTCTGGCATGGTTGTGCAAAATAACAACAAATAATTAAACAATTATCAGGCCAAGGTCAGTGTCAAGGGGTCAGCCCAGGAACATGATAGGATGGGGTCAGAAGAAAAGGCTGGTTCAAAAGGTAACAGTGTCTAATTGGGAAACAAGGTGAGGTTCCCACATCAGAAGGTGAGTCAGATAAGCAGAGGCTAGAAGATAAACTCAGTAAAACATTGTTGTGGAAGAAATTGAGCCCCTCTGTATCTCTTCCTTCATCTCTTCTGTGCTAGCAGGTTATTGCTAGGATGGTCTCTCCCCCACTTCCACTTCTAACTAAGTTTTGCTCAAATGATGCATAGACATTCTTGAAATAATTTGTGTTATGCAGATTTTGTTTGCCCTATGTCTGTTTAGATAGTATTGTACTGTGTAAACCTATTTCATGACAGGACATTCTTATTCTTTATTTTGTGTATCTGTCTAGGGATTCTTTTCCATTTGATCAGCAGTTTAACATTTTGATGAGATTCATTGTGGATCAGACACAAACGCCAAACCTTAAGGTCAGTTACTATGTTTGTTATAAAATACCTAAGTATTTGGCCTTTATACCTAACTTCTACACAAGAACTATAAATGTTTGTATGCTAATAAATTTATTGTTCAGTATTTTGGGACAAAATATACCAATAATAATATCAATAAAACTAAATGACCTTATGTTTAAAAATAAAGGACCCTTTTCATCATTCCTTATTTGACCAATTCTTTTTAAATCTCCCTAGATATTGTCACTGCACGAAATATGACAAGTAAAAAATCTTACTATGAGTTCCAGATTGTACACTTAAGGTTTGCCACAATTGAATTTTGCAGGTCAAGGTTGCAATTCTGAAATACATTGAGTCTCTGGCCAGACAGATGGATCCAACAGACTTTGTAAACTCTAGTGAGACAAGGCTTGCTGTTTCAAGAATTATAACCTGGACAACAGAACCAAAGAGTTCGGATGTGAGAAAGGTATGTTCAAAAAATAGCTAAAGTCTGTATATGGAAATGTCAGACTCTCCATAGGTATGTGTTAAAAAATGATCATTCAGTGAATGGCCACTACTGTTTTCTAAAAATCTCTTGAAGGCCAAAATACTGATTGAATGTCATCCTTGTTCAACAGCTATCTATTAATCTCTCAAATATCTACTTCCAGTTTTTCCAGTTAAGATTGTTCATTGTTAACCAAGATAAGAAAGAAATCAAACAATTGTTTTTACACACAGAATTTGTATGTGTATTTGTGTGTGTGTGTTTTCTTTTTTATTTCAGTTTTGTGTCATATATTTTTGAAAGTAGTATTCTAGTAATCTGGTCTCAGGTATCTGATAATAAAACATATTGGTTAGTTTTATAGTAGAATGTTGAAATGATCCAAAGAAGGAAAATTTCTGATTATTTACTATACTTAAACACACCAAATCTTTAATTGGGTGGAGTGGGGGAGGGAAAGTTAACCTTAATATTATGATAATGTTTTAACTTTGTAGCTGAGTACTTTAGTCAATGCAGTTACAAATTAGATGTTTGTTTGCCTCGTGGGGTTATTTTGTAGGTCAAGAGAAACGGTTTTATAATTAAGTAAAATGGAAAATTTTCATCTCAACACTCCCTTTAAGCGTAGCGTTTTCACATATAACCCAAATGAAGTCTTTTGCATTGTATCAAAGTGGGCTTCCTATGGCAAAGATCAGTTAAATTTTGTTGCTTTGCAAGCTTAATGTTGATAGAATTGGCTTAGAGGTTTTTGAGCATAACACGAATTCTCTGTATTAATCCTTCTGCATATACAGTTGACATCACATCCAGGTAATTTTATTTTCAAATGAATATGCCAAAAAAAAAAAAAGAAAACTGGTTAAATAGTGACTTGTGAATACATACGTGAACAAATGTGTCATTTCAGGGGCCAGGTTTGTGAAGCACTCCAAAATAGCACAATACTTTACAAATTGAAAGCTTTCATTTCCACTTAAGAATGTTGGTTTGGTTTGGTTTGGGGGCTTGGGATATTTTGGTCTTGAGACTTGTTAGAAGTTAGTAGGTGTTTCACACATTCTTAGATGGAAGAATTGGGCAATAAATGATAGTGCCAGAGTTTAAGGAATTTAATGTCCTGCAAAACCTTCACAGAATGCAGGCATTAGACTCAAAGACCACATCAAAGACTAAATTGCCATTTTACTTAAGACCAGGACTAACCCAAGGCAAAGCAGTTGAAGGTGCTCCCATGCCCTTTATGTTTGCCCCAATTTTGCATATTCCCATTTTCCTAGGTGTGTAGGCCTCTTGTAGTGCTTTGGGTATGCTAGAATTCTGCACAAGACCTTTCTACTGCTTGTTTATGGGGTGTAGATTTTAAATGTTTCTGTGCTTATCTAGGTATGGCTTATATTTACATATAGGTTGTTCATATTTGAAGATAACATGATAGTCTAGGCTTGGTGTGGCATAAATCAAAGTTACCTAACTCTTCAGCTCTTTAATGGAAAGTTTCTTCGTGACTTATTTTTTAATCTGAATGTGTTTCCCAACCAAACTCAGAATTATAAATTTAATTAGACAGAGGGACCATGTGATATCCATAATGTAATTGATATTTGGCAATGCCCTGACTCATTTAATATTATTAAAAATTTATTAAAAATCATAGCAGACATTTATGTAGGTCTTTACAGTTCACAAAACACTTGACATAGATTTTTCATATTTGACCCTTGAAACAACCTTATGTTGTACAGTATTTCGGATGAGGAAGTTTAAAGCTTAAATGACTTAACTAATAAGTTTTAGAGGAAGGAGTCAAACTGAGTTTTTTCCTGCATATCCATATTTTGTGAATATAAAAATTATGGCTGAATTTTTAAATAATATTCTTAAACTAGTGTCATACTAATGGAGACATAATATAATTCATTATGTGGAAACTTTCAGTTTTTAAATTTACTCTGAGCATAGCCGATGGATTTGTTTAGATTTTTAAAGCTTCTGTGGTGATTAAAAATTACCAAGATAGGAAATTTGAAACTGGTAATTGGAGAATAATAAATCAGAATAACTGGGTTTTAATTATAGTACTACCACTAATGTACTGTTTGACCACAGAGGAGTTTTTAACCTCTTTGCACGTTTCCTTATCTGTAAAAAAGGGTGTGATAACAATTTCATATGTGTATACACACATACAGTGCTCTATGTATATTATCTAATTTGATCTTTAAAATAATTCTGACCTAGAGAGTGCAAGTAGTATTATTCCCATTTTACAGATGAGAAAACTGAAGTTCAGAAAACTTATGTGGCTTGCCCAAGGTCAGCCATGTGGGAGCCTGAGACTTCTGCATAGTTCTTCTGACTGCGGCATAGGAAATGTCCAAAGTCCAGTGGCTTCCTAATACATTTTAGTTTCTTTAGGGATAGTATCACCTATCCAATATATTTGGGGAGTTATGGTAAAGATCATTTGAAATAATAGAAACAAAAATGCTTTGGGAAACAAAAGGGTACTTTACTTTATAATTGTAGTGTTAGTGGGATGGGTGGTGGTAATTCTTCCTAGAATTGAAATGGAGAATGATCTCTACAGTATGCCCTCATGTCACAGTCTCCAGGAAGTGATAGTTCTTGATGCTCAGAAAATGAAGCTAATAGGTCAGAATTGAATGTACAATGTCTTTATCATCATGGATGGAAGTGACACTTTAAAAGAAAGTCTTTGTACTTTCTTTGCCATTTGGACTGGACAGGGAAATGTGATCCTAGATCTGAGATCAAACAGTTAACACAGCTTTATTGGAAAGGTCACAGTTGGTTTAATATTTTCATGGTGTTTTCTTTTTTTCTTCTGTGCAGCAATTAATTAAATTGTCACGAGCAAGAACAAGTGCATACTTTGTTCTGAGTACATCAAGAACAAAAATATTGTTGTGGTTGCGATACTGACTCATGAATCTGTTGCTAAAACCTAATGCTGTACCCTAAGAGCATTTTGTTTACCACCAGCCCCTGAAAAACTAGAACCAGGGTATTTTATTTGATTACTTTAGTTAGTGACTTGTGCTGTATTAACAAAATTATAATTAAAGTAAATTCAAGTTTCTTCTGAAGGCTATCAAGAATAGTTATATTTTCAAAAGATAAATGAGCCAAAGTATCATTCAGCTACCAATGTTTGGGGTGTAGTCATGCTTGTGTGTGTGGACATAAACTATCTAATATGGGAATGTACTTTCAGTGTTAACTGCACTGGTAGAGTAAATAGGTATCAAACTACACACACACACACAGAGCTTATCTCCCTATTTAAAAGTACTGACTATAGATTCTGGGGATGAAAAGACAAAAATAAAACAATACCTGAGCTCCAGTAATTAACATTCTATTAGGGAATGCAACACGTACACATAAAAATAAATTCGGCTGATAGAGTTGTGAACACTAAGCCAGTTTTTTAAAAAATTAATTTATTTTAAACTTAAATACTCAAGAAAATAAAAGAAATATATTATAAACTTAAATATTAAAACTTGTGTGGTTTTTTGTTTTTGGGGGGTTTTTTTTGTTTTTGTTTTTTGGGGATTTTTTTTGGCTAGGCAATAGGGTTAAGTGACTTGCCCAAGGTCACGTGGCTAGTAAGTGTCAAGTGTCTGAGGCTGGATTTGAACTCAGGTCCTCCTGACTCCAGGGCCAGTGTTCTATTCATGTACCACCTGGCTGCCTCTAAAACTTAAATACAAAATAAGAAAAGAAGGCAAAAAAAGCATTGCCATGTGCACAACAGAAATTAAGAGAGGATTCAAAATATGAAGCAGTAAAGTTCCATTTCAAGAAAGCCTTTATAATAAATACTTTTCAGGGATAGCTATGTGGTATACACATACATACATACATATATACATACACATATGTGTATATACACACATACGTATACACACACAAAGATATATACATGTATATAGCATAAACACTTACACTTACATGCACTTACACATAGATAACTATAATCATATTCATATATAGACATATACATTCATATGCATCTATGCAAGATCATACTTATTTGTCCTCTGTTTCTCTGAGGGTGAATAATGTGAATAACTTTTTCTTTTGTAAGTCTGAATTTTTCCATATTTTTCTAAGTCTACCAACTCATCATTTCCTATGCCATAACAATTTTCCATCCTTATACTGTCTAGTGTTTTTAAATGGTCTAAAATAATATTGATTAATATGGCTGAAATATAGTTTCCCTATTTTTCTCTTATGATTAAATCTATTGTAGCATTAACTTTGTCTGAGATCATGATTAACATCCCTACCTTTTTTCCCTAATGAATTCTACTCCTGATCTTTATTTTATGTTTGTGTGTATCTCTTATTTTCTATCCCTCCTGACTCTTCTACTTTACTTCTACTTGCTACCTTGCCCTCTTTTACTTAACCTACCCCAGGCCTCCAAGAATCCCTCCCTTATTCTCCCATTCCTGTTAATCTAAACACCCTTCTATTACCCCACCTTATCCTAATCCCTCGTTCTTCCCTCTAGAAATTTCTCCTTTATCCTCTCCTCCCTCCTTATCCCCTTAGACTTTTATTTCTTTCTGAATTTAGAAGACTTTTCTACCCTTGTACCCTCTTAAACCCATTCCCAATAAAAGTAGGGGTCCAGAACTACTAGCCCTTCTCCCCTATCTAATTCCTCTGGCTCAGTTCTTCCTTTCTGATCTCATTTGTATAAAATAATTACTCTTTTTACCTGTTCCTAAATAGTTTTACTTTTTAAAATTATATTATACTCAGGTTTACCCCAATCTTATGAACTACCCAATTACTAATAAGAATCTAGGCTTTTTTTTTTATCATGGCTTTCAGGTAGTCCAGTAATTTTTAAATTATCTCTCCTGTATCTATTTTCCAGGTCAGTTGTTTTTCTAATGAGATATTTCACATTGTTTTCTATTTTTTCATTC